GGAGAAGTTTCTATTTCTTGCCACAAAAGGAGCACTGGTTAGAAAACTCAAACATAGTCTCAGAGCAGTTCTGTCAGAAACAATAACAATCACAAAATACAATTTTTTACTAGTGAGAAAATTTATAATAGTCCCAATTACTTTTTTTCTACTATTAATGCTTAAATAAATTTTAACTCCAAAGTAGAAACCCAACAGTTACTTAAGTACCTACCTAACAAAATAATAAAGACATTGTAAAACACTGGAAATTTCCCTAGAATTAAACTAAGATAGAATTTTTTTACTCCTGGAATAAGTAGAAAAGAAATAATAGTAATTACAAACTTTTAATTGCTCTTATTTTGATTATTTATGAATATCTTCTCCAGAGATTTAAGAGACAACAGGACATCAGCAAGATAGCAATTATCTACAATCAACTATTATCACTAAAAAATATTTTTCTACTTTAATGGCCTTTTTCTTGTAAACATTATTTGTATCATAATAGAGAAAACTAATCAAGAAAAAATAATTTTAAAACACAGAACATTACGTATATAAGAAATGTAATAGAATGGAAAACTTGGGTAAGGAGAATAATCAGAAAATTAAGTGGCAAAAAGATATTCCACTAAATTGCCAAAAGGAAAGAACACTACAACAAAACCTTTCAACTGTTTCACAGAATTTTGGCATTAAAACAGAATCTCTTAGGAGTTTGAATAAAATTCTGGCAATTACTTCCTCTCCAGTGGTTCTAGGCTTTGACTCAGACCATTACACTGGAGGCTGGGATTCTATTTCATTAAAACAAAATTTACATAAAAGGATTTTGTAATCTCACTGTGCTTGAAAATAAGTTTTAAGAGAAAAATGAAACTGTATGATAAAAATCATAACATTCAGTTGAATTAAAATAATAACTAAATGTAGTATGTCCCTATATAGGTGGCATTCTCAAATATGATCTATAAAGAAATTTTTTTCACATAAAATATGTTCTTATGATTGGTTGACCGGATGAGTGGAAATGGTATTACAAGTGCTATACTTTAGCTAACTAGGCCCTCCATGGGCTAATCCATGACCCTGCTACCAACTAGAATGACAAGAGCTAAACTCGGCCCTAGGAGGCCAAGAAAGCAAAAGACTAGTCCCTCCTTAAACACAATGAACTTTCTGAGTCCACTGCTAGCCAGGTATTCAGAATTGGATAATAAGTCATGATTGCTCCCATAAGATATTCAGGGCTTCTAAACTTAGGCTATCCCTGACTTTTATGTGAATTCTTTGTCCTTGGGCATTCACAAATATGGAACAAACTTCTTTATTTTAATTTTCTTGAGGCAGAGAAATACCACAGAATAATTTCATAACATATTACATATACCCTATTTTATCTACTAATTCTCAACTTTACATAAGTCAAGCTATTTTTTAAAAGACAGTATTATTTCTTTTAAAGATTTATTTATTTTTTTTAAGAAAGAGAGAGAGAACCCACACATGTGAGCAGAAGGAGGGGCAGAGGGAGAGGGAGTTAGAGAGAGAGAGAGAATCCTTAAACAAACTCTACACTGAGCGTGGAGCCTGATGCAGGGCTCAATATCACAACCTGGATATCATGACCAGAGTTGGAACCAAGAGCTGGAGACTTAACCAACTGGATCACCCAGGCACCCCAAAAAGAGCATTTTTAAAAAAGATTTTATTTATTTATTTGACCGAGAGACAAGGAGAGAGAGAGAGAGAGCGTGCATACAAGCAGGGGGAGCCATAGCAGAGAGATAGGAAGAAGCAGGCTCCCTGCTCTGCGGGGATGTGAGGCTTGATCCCTGGGCCCTGGGATCATGACCGGGGCCAAAGGCAGACACTCAACTGACTGAGTCACCCAGGTACCCTAGACAGTATTATTTTTAAATAAAAATTAGTGAAGAAAAGTAAGTAAAGAAGAGTTAAGTGCAGATGAACTTCAGGGTTAGAAACCTGGTCTGGAAGTCGGAAGTCCAGCTTTGTCCCTTAGTGGTGTGCTCCTGTATAAGTCATTTCACATTTTTCTCAACCTTGGTTTCCTCATCTACAAAACGGGAATACCGTCTCACATCTCTCAGCATTATTATCAGTATTAAATAGGATAATAACATATACTATGATGCCTGGCATGGATTAAGTCTTCAACCACACGGTGAATATAATTTATCCGTAATTACAGGGTATTCTGGAATGTCTCTGGCCTCTACCCACTAAGTACTAATAGCACCCCCCCAACTACTGCCAATCACAACAACCAAAAATGTCTACAGATATAGCCACGTGTCTATGGGGAATAAAGCTGTCCCCAGTTGAGAAGCCCTTTCTTTTAAGAGACTGGACCTTCGGGTTTTGAAATCACCTTACACTGAAGATACATTTAAAAATAACCATATGAAGGAATGGTATTAAGGATATTATTTACTGTATTACTGTTTTCTATTACGAGGACACAGAGGGGAAATCTGTCTCAGGCTTCACTGAAAACAGGATGTTGTTTTCATATGGATAATGTGAATCCTTAACTAATCCTATTTTCATTTGTTTTTTGGCCACTAGAAAAGCTCAAAAGCAAATTTAAAACCCAGTGTCAGGATCCACAGCACACATGTATGCACAGTAAATTTCCCAAATGTCAGTTTAATTCATTCTTTTTTCCACCAGGAACTTTTTAATGTATCTTTATGATTTAATTAATTTATTTGAGAAAGAGAGGGCGCAAGCACACCAAGCAGCAGGGAGGGCCAGAGGGAAAGGGAGAAGCAGACTCCCCACTGAGCCAGGAGCCCTGTGCAGGGCTCAATCCCGGGGTCCTCAGATCATGACCTGAGCCGAAGGCAGATGCTTAACTGATTGTGCCACCTAGGTGTCTCTTTAGTCTTAATTTTTAATCTTACTACAATACCTGCATTTCTTCATGTGGACACAAACCCTTTTTTTTACATGCAATTAGGTATATATTAGTAAAAAAAATAGGCATTTAAACTATAATATTCCCCAGCAGATCACTCCTGACCTAGATTAGACCTGTTCTCTCTAGTCAAAGCAAATAACTAAACCTATTAACTTCAATGAGCCATGTCAGATAGGTAGTCTGCATAAAGTTTTAGAACTGTGTGTTTCAACATTTATTAGAAGTATATTTCTCCCAATGGAGAGTAGAATGAGACAGGCATGATATTCTAGATGCTGTGTGTCATACGCCATCCCGGGAACAAGCACATCATTCTGCGGGGTAGTGGAAGACAGCAGATGATGCTGGTTTTGTAAGTTTTCCCTTTCCTCACTAACACTACTTCTAACCCAAGCCAAGTAATATTTGGAATTCACCCTGAGCCCCAGTGTATGACAGACGGTGTCACAAGAGTGGCCATTCTTACACAATAGTGGCAACTATGAAGGGTCTTTCCTACCTGGTCCTACACTCACAGATGGCTTTTGAGAATGCTAAAAGGGATTGTTTTCCTCTCATTTAACCCTTTAGCATAGCCATTCTAAGACCTCAAATCAGGTACACGTATTACAAAGCTTCATCAACCACTGAGAGGGTGAATGGGTGAATGGATAAACAGGTGAGTGGATAAACAATCTGTGGTATATTCAAACAAGGGAAAACTACTCAGCAAAAAATAAAAAAGATAGCATATTAGTACCTATACATACAATGTGGTGGAACCTCAAAAAACACTACCCCAAGCCAAAGACACAAGAGAGTACACACTGTATTATTCCATCTGTAAGAAATTTCTAAGAGGCAAAACTGATCTACAGTGATGGAAAGCAGATTAGTAATTGTCTAGGAATAGCAAAGGGGCACAAGGGAACTTTATGGGATGATGGAAAGGTTTTTCTTTTTTTTGAAGGATATAGTTAACATACAATGTTACATTAGTTCCAGGTGTAAAACAGTGAATCTATAGAAAGATTCTTTTTGGTACCTTATCTTGATTGTGATGGTGGTTTCACAAGTTATATATTTACAGAAATGCACCTTAATTATAACTATATACCTATCACAGGTGCTAACATGGTATTCTTGTTAAAAATGCATAACTTTAAACTAATGATGAGAAAACATCAGACAAGGCCAAATTGATGGGCATTCTACGAAATCACTGACTGGTGCCCTTCAAAGTGTTAAGAACATGAAATACAAGGACTGGCTGGAGGTGCTGTCACAGGCTAGAGGGGACTGAAAGGACGTGACAAGGGAATGCAATGTGGAATCCTGCAACAGAGAAAGGACGCTAGAGGAAAGACTGGTAAAACCCAAATAAAGTCTGTAGTTTTGACAGCAGCATCGTACCAATGTTAATTTCTTAACTTTGTTCACTGTACCCTGATTATGTAAGTTGTTGAACATTATGGGGGAGTCAGATGAAGGATATAAGAAAATGTGCTACTCTGGCAACTATTTTGTCTAAAATTATCTAGAAATAAAAGTTTTTAAAATGAGTACATTTTATTGTATGTAAATTTTAGGTCTCATGTTCACATGAAATTAAAACAAAAATATGTGGACATTACTAAGAAATATCCCTATCCCCAGCCTGATTCTCTTTTTAAACTCATTACATATAATACTTAAATAACATCAAGAAGACTCAAAATACTCTAGTTTTCAATAGTTGAGTCAATAAGTCTACTAGATAAAACACACAGCATTTCTTACCTACAAGAATTAATAATATATAACTAATTAAATAAAAATATCAGAATTAAGTTCCTAGAATCCTGTATGTTCCTCCCACATAAATACTAATATATAATTAACAATAAAGTCATCGCATGTTCAAATCATGATGAGACAATGGAATCCATAAAACTCTAAAGTCGATAGTAAGATTATTTGATTTCTAGAACTCTCACATCTAAGATTTATTATATATGTGGACTACAAAAACTGTACCATCTCATTTAATATTACTTAACATAAAGACTTGTAGAAAAACATTCAGAGAAAAATTAAAATTTTTATAGCATACCTCCTCTGTTGCCATTTTCTTCATCCTACAATATAAAAAAAATACATCCATATATGAATATTTATTTATAAACTCTATAGTGAAATCACAGCAAGGTTCAACTCCATTCAAACGGCCCTCTCCCAAAACATGCCAATAATAATCTCATTAACAGTGCCCCTTGTCAGAAGGATGGGGCTTTCATACAGAAGATGGGGTTTGGGGGGTGGGGGTTGAAAGGAAGACAAGACAAAGATAGGAATGGCATTGTGTTTTTTTTTTTTTAAGTTACTTTAATTAATTATTTCTCTTACCTTATATGAAAATTGAATTGCAGACTCTGGGGGATAAACAATAAAATGCCTTAATGTGAAACCAAAGCCTTGAGATGTTCTTTTCAACATGACTGTTTTGGGACCTGGCCAGGAGAATGTTTCATCTTCGGATGGTGATACAGTTTCATTTTGTTCTTTTCCATCTTTAGTTTTTGATATCTAAAATAAAAAGATATTTAAAAGTTAACTGGATAACTCAATATACTTCCTCACTTAGAAAAAAAATATATGTAAAAATCTAATAATCTGAGCAGAGACAAATCTAAAGGGAGAAAAAAGAACCATCTTCTTTGTATTACCAGAAATCATGCAGATCATCAAAAATTAAATTTTTTTCTAGAAAGGAATGCTATGAAAGTCAATCAGAAGTGAGAAAGAGCTCTTGGAAATTAGAAATATAGTGTCAAAAATTTTAAATGCAACAGAAGGAATGAAGCTGACACTATGAAACAAAAACTATGAATGAAGAGACATGAAACTCTTACTGAATAAGAACTCTAAAACTGGTATCAGAGAGTCCAACAGGAACAAAAGATAATTAGAAACTAATAAGCAGGACCTTCGAGTTCTGAGCATAAATTCAGTATTCACATAGATGATCCTTCCATTATCCTGGCCACCAAGTATCTTGATCTCCTCTACTCCACTCTTGGGTTTCATCAGCTCATAACTGAAAACCCTCTGCAATCTCAAAGCAAAGATCTCACTCTTCATTCCCTCTCATTCCACAGCTTTTCTAAAACTGCAACCTGGGCCTACCTCTCCCACCTCTTCCCTGTCCCTCACAGCCCCATGTTCTCACTTCCATCGTGAGCCAGCTTCATTCACTCCTTTCCCTTTCTCTTTACTTCCTCAAAGTCACCTGACAAAACCTACAGCTGGATAAATAATTAACATTGCCTACTCTGGGCCTGCACCTATGCAGTCAAACGTGAGTGGAGAGAAAACAAAACAAAGCAAAACTAAGCTGTTTTCACTCTTAAGTTCATATCCACTAACCTCAAGGGAGCCTTTTATATTGTCTGTCAATAATAATACAGTTCTCTCCATCCCATTCATGATGGATGACTATTTCAACCCTTCTCATCCAACCTCACTTATAGCTAATGACCCTGCTTTCTATTATACTGTAAAAACATGAGGCATAAGCTGAGAACTTAGTCACTTGCCATGTCTACCCAGCCACCACTTGCAGCTGGGCCCACATTCTCCACCTTCCTTCCTATTACAATCCTGCTCCAATGGCTTATTCTTCTAGGGCACCAACCCATGTACTATGTCCCTCTTAACAAAGATGTGGTTCCCGCAATTCCCCCTTTCACATCATCTATTTTCTCTACTATTGTCCCCATTGACACACACACATTTTGTAAATTCTTTAATTTTAAAATAACAACAGAATTATGGAAGCATGTAGCCCTCTCTAGCTGACAAAATCTGACAAAAGATTTGTAATGCCTACTAACTGAAACTCCAAAACACTACTGAGAGGTTAAAAGAATATCTAAATAAATGGAGAGATATACCATGTTCATGGTTTAGAAGATTCAATAATACTCTAACGTCAACTCCCCCAAAATTGATCTAGAAATTCAATGAAACCACAGTCAAAATCCCAGGGGATTTTTGTTTAGAAGTTAGTAAGCTGTTTCTAAAATTCACTTTAAAATGAAAAGTATCCAAATAGCCAAAGCAAATATGAAAAAGAACAAAATTTGTGTATTTCAGTACAAGACTTCAAGATTTATCATAGAGCTACCATAAATAATCAAGACTGAAGCCATCTGTGGAGACTGTGCATTTGAAGCTAATTTATCATAATTGCATTTTAGTTTATCCTCCCTTCTAGGAGTTAGTGATTTTGATAGAAAGAGGCAGTAATAGCAAACATAAACATGGGAGAGTCTCAATAACTGCAAAAGTAACCATATGATTAGGTAAAGTTTGAAGGATAAAGGTTATTTTTCTGGGCTTAATTACCCAAATAGTTAAGATTTAAGTGGTGACTGGATCCTCCTTTTGTGATTCAAATGAGAGAATCAGTTTATACATTCACAAGCCCCTCCCCCCAATTTATTCAGTAAATAAATATTGAGTACCTACTCTGTATCCAACATTGTTCCACCCAGTGAGGATACAAGAGTAAATAAAATATATATAATTTATTGTTTTCCAAATTAAGCTTCTTATTTTGAGATAATTACACATTTACATGCGCTTGTCGGAAATAACACAGAGGGATCTCTTAATCTTTATGCAATTTCCCTCAACAGTAACATCTGGAAAACTACAGTATATACCACAACCAGGGTAATGACATGGATACCATCCATTCAACTTATCCAGAGCAGTTTTACTTGTATCCTGTTTATGTTCACATCTATGCAGTTTTATCACTTGTGTAGGTTTGTATATTCACCACCAGTCAAGAGACAGAAGAATTCCATCACCACAGGATCTCTCCTGTGGCCCTTTCAGAATCAATCCACTCTCTCCCTTCACCCCTCACCCAGGCCCTGACCTAGGCAACCACTACTCTTCCATATTTCTATCATTTTGTCATTTCAAGGATGTTATATACATGGAATAATATAGTCAGTAAACTTTTAGGACTGCCTTTTTTCACTCAGCATAATTCTCTGGAGATTCAGTGAAGTTGTTGCATGTGTCAATAGCTCATCCCTTTCATTGCTGAGTAGTACTCCATGGTATAGATGTACCCCAGTTACTTTAAAGGACATCTCTGTTGTTTCCGATTTGGAGCTACTATGTATAAATAGGTTCTGAACATTCATATACAGGTTTTGTGTGAACATAATTTCCATTTCTCTGGGATAAACATCCAAGAGTGCAACTGTTGGGTAATTAGGTAACTGCATGTTTAATTTTGTAACAAACTGCCCAAACTGTCTTCCAGAGTGAATATGCGATTTTACATTCCCAAGATGTATGAGTGATTAGTTTCTTTGCTTCCTCAACAGCATTTGGTACTGTCATTATTTTTTATTTTAGCCATTGTTATAGGTGCGCAGTGCTAGGTACTGTGACCATAATTTGCATTTCCCTCATGGCTAATAATATACATCTTTTCGTGTGTTGCCATCTCATTATATAATTGTGAAGAACAAAAGACTCTCCAAGACATAAACAAGATCAATAAATGCTTTCATGTTACACATGGGGAAATTGAGACCCAGATGGGTAAGTGATTTATCTGAGATTACTGCTGGCTAGTATGGGGCAAAAATTAAAATCAAGGTTTCCTGAATCTGAAGCTAGAATAGCTCCCCTCTATCATATTATTTTCCATATCTTTTACTCTGTAGTCAGCACAGATTCTTCTCCCCAGTAGCTCTTTGATCTAATTTATTACATTTTTATATTCCACTTTTCCTGCAGAACCCTGACTTTAGCACTTTAGAAATTATAGATGTATAAAATTTATTTTGAGTGCATTATTAAGACTTGGCCTCACAGCTCCCAAATACATTCAAGTTTTCATTTCTTTTCCTTTGACTATATATATAAACCTCTTATATTATGATTTCATGCTTGGAAGTTTCTGAAATAAGCCTTCTATGTCTTGTTCTACTAAGTTCTTCACAAAAATGAAGAGGATGGGATGAAGAAGAATAAGCAATTTCCTTTTTGATCCCTACAAACTTTTAAAGATTTCTGAATGCAACATAGCTCAGTTGTTTCTATTATTCCATCTTCCCAGAACATCACACTGAATCCTCTCCAGCCTCCTATCTTTTCCTTACAGGACAGAAAGGAAGGTTATACTTCTTTCTACATAGAAAGAGAAGATGGAAAGAAATACACATACGTGCCTTCTCCGCTCTTTCTTCTACTGAGCCACAGAGCCATTTGATCTGTTGCATTTTATAAGGGCAAAGCAGAGGCACACAATGAAGGACACAGCAGTTACAGATCCCTCCACTACGAAGACCCCCTTACACATGCCCCTCACCATATTTTTCACCTCCCCACCATGAGCACCAATTCATGTACTAGTGATATCAGAATCCAAGAAGTAAAGAGGTGACTAGAACAACAGCAGTTAAATTCCTGTGGATTAAGAACTGTCATTTGATCCCCTTGAAAGACTTCATAACAAGGTCACTTGATTGAATAAATAATAACTCAAGGTTAAAAGAAGCCAAAATAAAGGACAAAAACAAACTCCATAAAATCCAGATATAACAATTAGACAAAGCAATCTAAAGGAGTGAAAGAAGGTATAAGGGGGAAATGATCATGTAAGAATAAAGGAAAGAATAAAAAAAAAAGAATAAAGGAAATTAAAACCTCACAGAAGAGAATTCAAACTGGTATGAGAGAACTTTTTAGGATAATGGAAATGTTCTAAAAGTAGACTGTGATCAAAATTTCACAACTGTATAAATTCAGTACAAGCCACTGAAATGTATGCTTACAGTAGTAGGTGAATTTTATAGTATGTAAATCATACTTCAATAAAGATATTTTTTTAAAAACTCAGGTAAAAAGTACAAAGTCTAAATGTTATCCTGCACTGTCATGAAAGTAAACAAGAGTAATGAAAGAATGCCTACACATACAACAAATACATAACCCCTCAGCTATCTTTTGTAACTACTTGTACTTTAAGTAGAATGGAGATAGCTTCCTAGTACATTCTAAGAATCATTCATGATAAACCATAAAAAAAGCATTCATATTGCATTCACCTTAAAAGATTCTAATATTGATTCTATTACACCTAAGATTATGAGACCTCCTCCTATCTCTTTGAAAATGATTTATTTCATCTTACCACTGAAAATGTTAGTAGTGCCATTTATTTTATTTTTTTAAACATTTTATTTATTTATTTATTCATGAGACACACACACACAGAGAGAGAGAGAGAGAGAGAGAGAGAGAGAGAGAGGCAGAGACACAGGCAGAGGGAGAAGCAGACCCCCTACAAGGAGCCCGATGCAGGACTCAATCCCTGGACCCTGGGATCACGACCTGAGCCAAAGGCAGCTGCTCAACCACTGAGCCGCCCAGGCGTCCCAGTAGTACTGGTTGCATAAAGTAAGATTTTCTTCCTTATATATTCTGGGGTCAGACTTTTTAACACTGAAGCAACACCTTTTTAATTTGTCACTTGCTAAGAAAACACAAGATTT